AAGAAAAGTCTTACAGTGGAGGGGAAACAGGGGAAGGTGAGAGGAATGAGGAATCTTATTCTCATAGGATTTGGCTTAAGGAGGGAATAACATACACATTCAATTGGGTATGGAAATCTGTCTTACCCTACAGGAAAATAGGGGGGGGGGACAAGAGAGCAGGGGGATGATAGAGAGAGGGCAGATTGGGAAAGGGGTAATCAGAAGAAATACTTCTGAGGAGGGACAGGGTCAAAAGAAAGAATAGAATAAATGGGAGGGCAGGATAGGATTAAGGGAAATAGAGTTAGTTTTTCACAACATGTCTACTATGGAAGTGTTTTGCATAACTGCACATGTACCTATATTGAGTTGCTTGCCTTTTCAATGAGGGTGGGTGGGGTGGGAGGAAGGGAGAAAATTTGGAACCCAAAGTTTTAAAAAACATGTTTAAAAAAATGTTTTCACATGCAACTAGGAAATAAGAAATACAGGAAATGAGGTACAGAAATCTATCCTGCCCTACAGGAAAATAGAAGGGGAAGGGGATAAGAGAAGGGGGGAGGAGAGATAGAAGAGAGGGCAGAGTAGGGGAAGGGGTATTCAGAATGCATGCCATCTTGGAGTGGGAGGAGGGGCACGATGGGGTGAAAATTTGGAATTCAAAATCTTGTGGAAGTGAATGTTGAAAACCAAAAATAAATTTATATTTAAAAAAAGAAAAAAAAAGAAATTCCACCATTTAAGAATTGTTCTTTTAGCTTAAAACCTTGTCCCCTGTTAAAAATGAAAACCCAAAAGCTATTTCACCTCTATGACCTCAGTGTCCTCAACTATAAATTGAGGAAGTAGGTCTTGATAAAGGGACTTGAAGCTCCCTTTTGGTTTTAATGTTATCATCCTATGATTTCTTGAAATCATCTGTGAAGACTGGGGTAGGGGCTCTGGAGATCCCTAGATTCCATTTTATCTGAGAGAAGGGAAGAGAAAGGAAGAGAGAATGATGATGGGAGTGATCTTTCTGGATGGTACCCAAGATGGAAAGAAAGATTATCTAAGGTACACAAAGGCATTCTAAGTGGAAGGGAAGGGAAGAGGGAGAACTGGAAATAATCTATTCCTTTCACGATTTTGCTCCCAGCCATTCCTGGGAGAACCGTTAATAAATCTGTTCAATTCATATATTTAGAGCTGGAAGGGACCTTAAAGATCTGATCTATACCATTTTATAGATGAGGAAACTGAGGCCCAGAAAGGCTGTGACTTGATTAAGGTCAGATGGGTCTTAAGGAGTAGTGTTAGAATTTGAACACAGGTCTTCTGACTCCAAAACCAATATTCCTACTATATTTTCCTCTCTGGCCTCAGTCTCCTCATCTGTAAAACGGCTTAGATTAGATCTAAAGTCCTTTTCATATTTTATATTCCACGTTTCATGGCTCCTGATAGACAAGGGCAAGCACCTATGTCAGATACCTTTCTGGAGTAGGTGGGGAATTATCCTGGGTTCTCTGGGGGATGTGCAGTCAGAGGAGACAGATTCAATATCTGTTTCAAGAGCTACTTCCCTAACATGTTTCTCCACATAGACTTGGGAGAAAAAGCAAGTGACTTCCAGAGAGAAGAGTTGGCAGGGCCTCCTGGTGAGGGGGACAACCCCTCTCTCATTAGTCCAGCCACAGGTTTTCCCATGATGCTTCAGTGGTGGAATCCTCTGGACACCACAGGCACCAAAAGTAGTCATGTGAGAAAATACAGTGAAACCCAAGACTCCAGATGGGGCCAACTGGCTATCCCATGGGAGAGCCGGAAACATGGCCTTATACGGGTTGCTCTAATTGCTTATCATCATCCATTTGTGGGAGTTAGTCTCAGCCCTTACCAGAGGACTGAAGGCATTTCAAGGAGTTTTCCACAAAGCAATTGAGGATTCAGAGGAAATCCCTGGTGATAGATCCATGATGTGGTGTGAGCCTGGCAAGGGATTCAACTACAGCTATGGCAGTAAGAGTAGAAAGGGAAGGATGGCTGTAAAACAACAACAACAACAACAGAGAACAGCCTTTTCTGCTCATAGAATATGCCTTAGATTCTTCTCCTCAATTTCATTTCTTGCTCTCAACTGGTTATCACTCAACTCTGCTAAAATGCCGGCTAATATGGTGTACTCTGCAATCCCTCAGGGTCACATATTTTGAGCTGGAAAGCCATGGCATAAGAGGCTATTAAGTCCAACCCCTTCATCTTACAGATAAGAAAACCGAGGCATATTTTCCTAGGGTTACACAGTGAGCAAGTGTCCAATGTATAGCATATGAACCCATATTTCTGTCTTCAAGTCCAGTGCCCTTTCTATTACATCACAGGTTCTCAATGACCATGCCAGTGAAGCATATAGCCTGGTAGGGCTGACCAATTAAGAAAGCCCATCACTCTATTTGTCTTTTGTTTGAAGACCTGCCCAGTGAAGTTCAGAGGTGCTCATCACCAGAAGGATGGCTGCAGGGTAATGAGATTTCCATAAAAGAGTAGGTACCAATCTGTAGAGAGGTTTTGACGTAAGTCCTTTGATCACAGATCTGGGACTGGAAGTGACCAGGAAGGTCCTTTAGCTCAGAGGTGTCAAAGAGGAGGACCCTCTCAGGCATCCCAGAATCTGATTAAAATATAATTAGGAAATATGCAACAAGATAAATTACAATATAATAGAACATAGATAATGTTAATATGTGGTTTTCCAAGTTAATAGGCAGGCAGCAGGGATCCTTATATAAGGATTGATAACTCCCATTTCTATCTATCTGAGTTTGACTCTGCTGCTCTGGTTCAACCCTGTTTGCCCACTGATGGGGAAATGGAAGCCAAACTCACGCAAGTAGTAGGCATCATAGGCAGGATTAAACCCAAGTTTTCTGACTCCAGAATCAGCATTCCTTTCCTTGTGCCATGCCCACATAATTCACCAACTCTTGTGTTGGCTGCTAAGTTTTACCCTCCCAGGGATATCTGAATTTTCCTGTTTATCTCTGGAAGACTGGGTAGCATGGTTATTTTAGAATGAATCTGTTGTTTAATGCCTTCTATTAGAGATTTGTGAAAACCAGCAACAATCATTCTAAAGCGGAGAGGAAGCACTAGATTTGGAAATAAGACTTCATGTTGAATTTGGGGTCTGCCAGATTTTGGGCAAGTGACTGCTTGGTCTCTGGACCTCAGTTTGTTGTTCAGTTATTTTCAGTTGTGTCTGACTTTTTGTGACCCCATTTGGGGTTTTCTCGGCAAAGATACTGGTGTGGTTTGCCATTTCCTTCTCCAATTCATTTTATACATGAGGAAACTGAAGTAAATAGGGTGAAGTCACTTGCCCAGGGTCAATAGCTAGTAAGTATCTGAGGCCAGATTTTAATTCAATTACTTCCTCTGAAAGAAAGAAAGAAAGAAAGAGAAAGAAAGGGGAAGGAAGGAAAGACGGAAGGAAGAAAATAAAAAGAAAAGGTAATAAGGCACTAGAAATAGATGTTTGGTAAGGTCTTCAACTCTATTATTAGCCAATAATAATTTCCTAGTGGGCAGTTGAGAAGATTATCTTCTGTAAGTTATTCTGCATTGGTGGTTGCCTATTTTATCAATTCAAGAAGTTCATAATGCATCTCCGCTGAAATGAAAACAAGGTATGGTATTGACAATTCTAGGTCAGAAGGTCTGCGGCATTTTTCCCAAGAGGATGTAACTTGTCCAACATTCCATGCAAGGTTGGGAGCATGATTCTCTGCCCCCTGTTCTTCATTCTCTGCCTACTTTGCCTTAATCCAACATTTTCTATATTAGACCAGCCTAGGAGTCAGCAATCTTTTTCAATCAGTGTGTCAAGTGTTCATTCATTCACTTCTTTGGTGGTGATAATGGGGGGGAAAGAGGACTACAGAGGCTGAAGGGGCCTGCCTGGTTCCTCTAAATCTGAGGAAGAGGTGAATCCAGGGATATCCTGGAAGAATTCTCTGAAGCCTTAGTTCCCAGGAATCTTGGTGGCATGGGATGGTCAGGGAGTCATAGGGGGAAGGCTCAAAACAAGTCCTTCCTCATGCCTGTCCCACACCACCAGCCCCTATGGTCCTATAACCCATCTTTTGTGCCTCCTCAGGCATGCATGCTACAGGTTGCCAAGCCTGGACCAGCCCTGTCAACCACAGGCATCCTCCTCTCTTCCTATCTGGCTAATCCTGTAGCATCCAGCCAATCTGGCTAAGGCCTCAGTGTGGGGTACAGGTCCTCTCTTCCTCTTGCTTGGCCTTGACTCCCCAGGACAAGCTGCAGTAGTAGGAAGGTCAGCAGAGCAGGGTTGAGAGGTCAGTTAGAGAGCCAGAGTGAAAGTGACAGACTCTGGGTTCCTGTATGTCTGAAGCCCAGCCTTCCACCCTCCCCCACTCCAGGGAAAATCACAGGAAGGGAACTGGTTCAGATGCCAACTGTCCGCGGAGCCTGGGACCCTGGGCATGGGAAAGAGATTCAAACGCTGCTGTTGCTGGCGCCTTTCCCTCAGAGAGAGGCAGCCCTCTCTGCCTCTCTGTTTGCTGTTTGTTTGGGGACTCACAAATAGGGCATTGAAAACACTTCCTGCAGCTGAATGACGCCCTGTGTCGCCTACCGCAGGCGGGCACTGTGGCCCAGCTCGCAGGCTGGCTGCCTTTGGGGGGAAGCCTGCAGGGCGGGGTGGGGAAGAGGGGGTTCCCGCAATGCCCTCTCCTCTCCCCAGGCAAGGGAGCAATCCTCTTTTCCCTTCAAGTAGTCTTTCTTCCCTCTGGTCAAGGCAGCTTTGCTTAGACCACTCCTGGGACACCAGGTCCCCTTCTTGCCCTGAGATCCAAAAAAAAAAAAAAAAAAGAAATCACCCCCAGTCCGGAGGGCGGCTGGTGTGGATAGGCAGGAGGTGGGGAGTGGAGAGGGAGGGAGGGCAGAGACTTCGGTTATTAATAGTTCTCTTGACTCAGAGCCACCCCGTTATGCGAAACCAAGTAAGGTAACCCCCTCTTTGGAGACAAGATGCCTCTGGCTGTCAGCGATGGGCTGGGAGCGAGGCCCAGAAGGCGGGGTTAGCCCCGAGGGGTCGGGGCCATAAATAAGAGGGTCGCGTGTCAGGGAGATAAACATGAGGGGGTGCTGGGCCTGAACAGAGTCACCAGGGGCTGTTCGGAGCCGAGGGAGGCGGAGCGCCAGTGTCAAGGCCATCGCCAGAGTCGGAGTGGCATCGGTATCGGCAGCGCTAGCGAGGGCATAGGCAGTGCCAGCGCCAGCGCCCTCACCAGCCGAGTCCTCGTCCAGCCTCAGCCCGAGAGCACTCGTTCCGTCCCGTCGGTGCCCTCCACCGGAGGGCAGCGGGACCAGGAGGGGCGCTCGCCTCTGCCCGGCGCGGCACGGCCTGGGGTGCGCTCCCGGGCAGGGGGGCGCTGCCAGCATGCCTGCCTCCCTCCGTGCCTGGTGGCTGTCCGGGTTGCTACTGGGGCTCAGCCTACAGCTCCGGGCCCGGGTGGAGGCGTGCAGCTGCGCCCCCGCGCACCCCCAGCAGCTGCTCTGTTCCTCGGCCATAGGTGAGTGCGCCCTGGGGCAGGCGGCCGGGATGGGGGGTGGCGCACGGAGCTGGCCGGCACTACTCCAAACTATCTCTGTATGTAGGACTGGAGCGTGTGCGGGCCGTCCTTGTTGGTATTAAGCTTGTACGATCACAGAATGCCAGAGCTGGGAAGTTCATTCCAGTCTAACCCCTCCCCCCCATTTTACAGCTGGGGAAACTGCGGCCCAAAGAGAGGTAGGGATTTGTCCGAGGTCACATAGCGAGTTAATGGCAGAGGCGGGATTAGAAAGGAGGTCTCCTGACTTCCAGACTGGTGCTCTTGGCACTAATCCAGCTGCACTGGGGAGAAGGTGGGGGAGGTGGGACTCCAGAGCTTGCATATGGGTCATTAATAAGAGTTTGCCCAATGGCTTTTATCTGGAGAAAACACTCCTTCTCCTCCCACCTCCTCTCCCTCCCTCAAAGCCAAATCCAACTCCCCTTCATACACTCTTACACTGCTTCCTTCTTAACTGTTAAACTAAGGCATTGGGAGAGGACTCATTGCTATAGCAACATTTGACAAGTGGAAAGTCACTGGTTTTTATGGGACAAAGGGAATGTACAAAGAGTCTTCCACAGCACCCAATGACCCATGGCATGGAATCACAGTTTGTTAGAGCTGGAAGGGAATCTAGAGATCTAGTCCAAATTCTTTATTTTACAGATGGGGAAACTGAGGTCCAGGGACAGGGAATGTGTCTCAGTGTTTGTGGTGAAGGAGAGACTAGAACTGACCTCTTTTTTGCCTTGGAGGGAGGGGGCCTTTTCCACTACACCCACCACACTGCCTTCTCTGTCCTTGCCCTTACTCACCTAAGAAAGTTCAGTATAGTGAGCAGAATATTGGAAGACCAAGCAGGGCCATTATTTTAAACTTCCAGCCCAATACTGTAGTTGCTGATGCAGAAAGTTAAGATGGGGTAGGGGAATGAGCGCTGGAATGGGAGTAAGAGGTCTAAGGATCCAATTCCTACTTTAGACAAATCACAACCAGATGATCTCTAAGATCCCTTTAGGTTCATCTCCTATGTGTACTGACTCCAGAATCTCCCCCATTCCGTCCCTTGAAAGTTTTTTTAAAAAATTAAATTACTGAACTCAGTTTGATTTCTTGGGATTGGCCTCTTTCTTTTTGAAGTTGAGTGCCAACAGAGAGGAAAAACTCATACAAAGTTAGAATTTGAAGAGTTCCCCTAAACAAGAACCGCTCCCTTAGGAGTAGTCATTGAGCCAATGATGAACAACTCTCTAGTCCTAGAGGCTCCCTTTCTACTTCTGGATTGTCCTAATTTTTAGGATGGCAATCCTTGACTGGAAATCTGCCTATGTAACTGTCAGTGCAGTTCTGAGAATGAGCAAAATTAGTCAGGTCCCTCTTCGACATGTCACAGCCAACAGAGTCCGCTATGTTTTACCTTCTTTCAGCTAGATCATTCCTTCAGTTCTGTCTGACCTGGGTTTTAGGCCCCTTACCATCATTGCTGTTGTCCTCTCAATGGCCTCAGGCTTGTCAGTGTCCTTCCTAAAATGTGGCACCCTGAACACATCAAATATGCAGATAATAGTCTGAGCAGCAAGGGGTAGGAGCCCCTGTTCTGCATATTATGATTCCATCAAAGCAGCCTAAGATCACAATGACTGTATATGTGACTCTTTCTGCTTGAATTTTAGCTAGAAACGCATGTCTTTTTCATATAAATTGTTGTCTAGGTGTGGTTTCCTCCTTCTCCCCATAGCATTTAGAAGCAGAAGGCACCTCAGAGGTTTGTCCCAATTCACTCATTTTACATATAAGAAAACTGATGCCCAGAGAGGTGATTTGGCCAATAACATATAAGTATTAAGTATTGGAGCCTTTGGATACTTGTCTTTTTAAACCCAAGTGTAGGACTTTACATTTATTACTATTAGATATGGGTAATTATTTGTATGTGCAGATTTTTTTTTTCAGTCCACAATCTGTCAGTGTTTTTTAAAACATCTATTATAGGCTGAGTGTTGGAGGCACAAAGAAAGGTAGAGGCTAGTCCTTACTCGCAAGGAGCCCACAGTCTAAAGGGAGAGAGAACATGCAAAAACTATGTTAAATTAGAGAGAATCAACAGAGGGAAGGCACTCGTATTAATGGGGATCTGGAAGGTGGGATTTTAGCTAAGAATTGACAGATGAGAAACAAAGTTCCAGGTGTGGCATAACAAATGAAAATACACAAGAGTTGTGACATGGTTTGTCTAATTCAAGGAACAGCCAAAAGGTCAGTACATGGGGTGGGGCAGGGAGTGTAAGGAGTAAACTGACTAAAACAATAGGAAGGGGCCAGATTATGGAGGGTTTTAAACAGAGGGTTTTATATCTGGTACTGGAGGCAACAGGGAGCCAGTGAAGGCGAATGACTAGGAGGGGGTGAGGTGATCAAAATTTCACTTTTGGAAGATCAGTTTGACAGCTAAGTGGAGGATGGAGTGGAGTGGGAGATGCTTGAGATAGGGAAACCAATCAGTAGGCCATTACAATATTCTGTGGGAGGTGGTGAGGCCCTGAACCAGAAGGGCAGTGTCAGAAGAGAGGAGGCATATCATGAGAGATGTTGCCAAGGTAGAAATGACAGGGCTAGCAACTGATTGGAGGGGGAGTGGTGAGAGTAAGGAGTTAAGAATAACACCTAAGTTTTGAGCCCAGGTGACTGGGAGGATTGTGATAATCTTGATACTAATAGGGAAGTTAGAAAGAAGGGAAGGTTTGGGGGAGGGGTGAAGATAATAAGTTCAGTTCTAAACATGTTGAGATTCTATGGGGTATCCAGTTCCATCTGAAATATGTATTAGGTCTATGGAATATCCAATTCAAAATGTCTAATAGGCAGTGGGAGACATGAGACTAGAGGTCAGGAAAAGAGGCTGATGCTGCACAAATGAATATGAGAATTATCTGCATAGTTGATAGTTGAAAGGATGGGAACTGATGAGATCACAAAGTAAAATTATATAGAGGTAAAGAGAAGGAAACTCAGGACAGAGCCTTGGGGGACCTCCATACATCATTCATTAACCAGTGTGATCGGATCAAAGTCCAGCAAAGGAGACTGAGAAGTAGTCAGATAGATAGAAGAACCAGCAAAGAAGAGTGCCTTGAAAATGTAGACATAAGAGAGTATCAGGGTTAAGGAGGGTGATCTATGATGTCAAAGAGAGAGTTTAGGAAGGATGAGGACTGAGAAAAAGTCATTGGATATGGCAATTGAAGGATCGTCGGTAATTTTGGAGAGAGCAGTTTCAGTTGAGTGATGAAGTAGAAAGCCAGCCAGTAGAGACTTAAGAAGGGAGGAAGAGAAAAAGAAGAGGAGACATCTATTATAGATATCCTTCTCTAGGAGTCTGGCCAGAAAAGGGAGAAGAGCGATAGGACGCTAGCAAGGAGGGATGCCATCCAGCATACTACAGACCCGTCTCAATTAGCAACACTTAGTTAATTTTGAACATTTCACATAGCTTGGTTCCAAGAAATCAAGGTTTTACTGCAGTTCCCACTATATCGCTGCCTGGACTATTTAGAGCCTCCTGACCTTCAGAACTCATGGAAGAGGGGGTTTTTCAATGAGTGGTTTCCTTTCTTCTTCAATGTCCTCTACCCAATGAGACCAAATCACTCCAAAATCTTTAGGCAAAGAGATATGGAAAAAAAAAAGTGGGCATGCGGTGGTCCCTTCCATTCCCTGGCTCGCCACTTGAGCCAGAGTGTCTATAAACTGCTCATTACCACAGCCAATGGAGAACGTGAATTTCCAACCCTACCGCCAATTAGCATTTCTATGGCCTGAGGAATCCTCTCTGCATACTGAGTAATGGCTTTCTGGACCTGACAGGACATTTTTGTGGCCTCGGCTCTGTTTGTGACTAGCAGTTAGTCCTGTTCAGATGGGCTGCGTTCGGAGCATTTTTCTTGGGTTATCTACTCAAAACACTAGGGATCTAATGAGGTGGGGGAGGGAGATAGTTAAGGACAATAAATGTAGGATTCGTGGAAAATAGTTCCAAATCTGCCTCTTAACACTTAATAGTTGTGAGACTCAGGGCAAGCCATTTAATTTTTCCGAGCCTCAGTTTCTTCACCTGTAAAATAGGTATAATAATAGCACCTACCTGTTATTGTTGTTCAGTCATTACCCCATTTGGAGTTTTCTTGGCAAAGATATTGGAGGGTGAGGAAACTGAGGCAAACAGGGTGCCCATGGTCACACGGCTGGAAAGTGTCTGAGGCCAGATTTGAGCTCAGGAAGATGGGTCTTCCTGACTTGAAGGACAGGTGTGGAGCAGCTAGGTGGCACAATGGATAGAGCACTGGCCCTGGAGTCAGGAGGACCTGAGTTCAATCTGGCCTCAGACACATTATACTTCCTAGCTGTGTGACTCTGGGCAAGTCACTTAACCCCAACTGCCTCACTAAAAAAGAAAAAAAGTTTAAAAATAAAGGACAGGTGTGCTACCCACTGTACCATCTAGCTGCCAGCACCTACCTAGGATCATATATTTTAAACTTGAAAGGACCTTAGGATCCTTTATCTGATCATTTTAGAGACCAGAAAACTGAGATTAAGTGACTGGGTCACATAGCTAATGTGTCCAAGGTGGGATCTGAACCCTGGTCTTTCTGCCTCCAATTCCAGCATTCTATTCATTCTTTTGCATTGACTCTTAAGTCAACTCTTGTGGGGTAGTTGGGGATATCAATTCAATAAGCATTGATTAAGCTCCTACTATGCTCCCCCCCCAAAAGACAAAAACTGACATCCCCTACCCTCAAGGAACCTGGCATGAGCTGATGTATGTGAAGCTAAGGCACTACATAAATACTAGCTATTAGTATTCTGAGTCCTGGTCCTGATGAAGCTGCTGGTGGGTAGGCAGGAGACTAGGTGGGGACACTGCTTTGGATATAACACCCCATGCCAGAGACAGGGAGGCCCTTAAGATGGGCAAGGTGATCTGGGTGCCTTCTTCATGGGATAGTCCTCAAACGCAAGCTTGAAAGGGCCTTGGACACCATCTATTCCATCATCTTCATTTTACAAATGAGGAAACGGAGGATTTTCCAGGAGGTGAATTCTACTTGAATACCCTATTGGCATGTCAAATTCAGTATGCCCAAATCTGAACTCATCATTCTAGCTAATAAAAGTGCCCTTCCTGCAAACCTCATTATTGGGGTTGGTGGTACCACCATTCTCCCAGTAAGCCAAGTTCATAACCTCAGACGCATCTAGTCTACCTACTAAAGTCCTGTACCACCATTTCTCCATTCCATCAATTATCCAGTCCGGCTAATTCTCTCTCCACTCCACATCTCTAACATCTACTCCCTGATTGCCATTTACATTGGGGGTATCAAACTCCAGTAGAAATGGGATCACTAAACCATACAAAAGGATCCCTGATGGCTGCATATGGACTTAGAAAACCATATATTACCATTATCTGTGCTCTGTTGTGGGGGGCAGCTAGGTGGTGCAGGCACTGGGCCTGGAGTCAGGAGGCCCTGAGTTGAAATCCAGCCTCAGACACTTACTAGCTGTGTGACCTTGGACGAGTCACTTCACCCTGTTGGCTTCAGTTGCTTCATCTGTAAAATGAGTTTGGAAAGGAAATGGCAAACCATTCCAGTATCTTTGTTAAGAAAATCCCAAATGGGGTCACAAAGAGTCACAAAGACATGAGTGAAACAAAATAACAAATGCTCTCTTACATTTTTATTTATTTTCTTAAATATTTCCCAATTACATTTTAATTTGGCTTCAAGTATATCAGACCCCAATACTCCACACATAGTGTGTTTAATACCTCCAATTTGCGTAGCTAATAGCCTGCTTCAGGCCCTCATTACTTCTCACTGGACTGGGTTAATAGCCTTCTGGATGATCTATTTATATCAGGTATTTCCCGCTACAGTCTGTGCTACACAGAGTTACAGAGTTAAAACACAGGCCTGACTGTGTCACTCTCCTCCCCCAGAACCATCAGTGCTTCCCTACTGCATTTAGAAAAAAATACAAACTCCTCAATCTGACATTTAAAGGGCCTCCACATTCTGGTGCCAGACTTCCATGCACTCTGCATTCTAGGAAAATTAACCTACTAATCATTCCCCAAACTTGCTGTTCTCTCTTTCTCCATTAAAAAAATGGGGACTGTGTTTTTAATCAACATAGAAAGTTCCAGATGAGGAATTCCCTTTACCAGCAAACGTCAACACCTCCTCTTCTGCTACCTACAGTGTTAGAGAGTTTCCGGGGCACTGGGAGGGTAGGGGTCTTGACCAGTGAGTCCCATAGCCCAGTATGTGTCAGACCCAGGTCTCCCTGATTCTGAGGCTATCCCTCCACCCAGTTCGCCAGGCCACCACGTGTTTTCTGTCTTTCAGAATCTTTATCTTCCTTCGAGACTCAGCTAGGCATCCCCCTCCTCAACGAAGCCTCCTCTGGTCCCCCCACTATTTTTATCTCTCCCTCCTCAATTTTCCCAGAGTGCTTTGTGGGATGTCTCCTTGCTGCTTTACTCTCTGCCTTGGACATGGCTTACCTGAGAACACGTTGTGTCCCCCTGCAGAATGTTGGCTCCCTAAAGGCAGAGCCTGCCTCGAAGGGAATAGTCAATAAATGTTTGTCAAGCTATGGCATATGACAGAGAGCTAAAGAAGGGGGAATGATGAGCACAGCCACAGTAGAGAAGACTTGGAACAGGGGAAGAGAATTCTCTTCGAATAGATGGAGAGAAATTAAGTGGAAGAAGGAAAACACTCAGCTTATGCTGTTCCTGAGGGCAGAGCTTGAATCCCTGGGTGACAGTTCACTGGGATCTCAATATAAGGAAAAACGTCCTAGCAATGAGCTATCCCACTGACAAAGTGGGTTGCTGCCGCCTTAGGAGATAATGATGCTCATTATGTGTTCAAGCAGAGGTCAGATGTGCAGTAGTCAAGGATGCTGCAGAAAGAATTTCTCAATCAGGTTGGGGGGCAGGGGTGATGATGGGGTGACCTTTATTGTGGCATATCAGATAGAGCACTGCCCCTGGAGCCAAGGAGACCTGAATTCAAATCCAGCTTCAGACACCCGCTAGCTGGGGGATCCTGGGCAAGTCACTTATATGCTGTCTGCCTCAGTTTCCTCATCAGTAAAATGGGGATAATAGAACCTACCTCGTAGGGTTGTTGTGAGGAATGAGGTAATATTTGTAAAGCACTTAGCATAGCTCTAGTTAGGTGCTTAATAAATGCTCTTCCTGTCCCATTCCATTCCCCTTCCCTTCCAATAACCCTGGGAGGTAGATGCCATTATCATCCCCATTTTACAATTGAGGAAACTGAGACAGACAGAGGTTAAATGACTTGCCCAGGGTCATACAGCTAGTAATAATAATAATAGCCAACATTTATTAAGCACCTACTATGTGCCAGGCACTAGGCAAAGTGCTTTTCAATTGTTATCTCATATGATCTTACAACAGCCCTACAAGATAGGTGCTATTATTATCCCTATTTCACAGATGAGGAAATTGAGATAAAAAGAGGTTCACCCAGGATCACATAGCTAAATGGTGGAGGCTAGATAGATCTGAACTTAGGTCTTTCTGACTCCAGGTCCAGTGTTCTATCCACTGAACCATCTAGCTACTCAATGCCATGGGGATAGAAGGAACAGGAAGGAACATGAATAAAACGAGAAATCCCAGCTCAGGGCATCAATGAAGTCCCCTAAACTTGCTTAACAGCCAGGGAGTGTCTATAACCATAACATTATAATTGTAACCATCATAACTACAATCATGAGATCATAATTATAATCATAGCTATAATTATAATGTCATGATTATAGCCATGATATAACTATAATCATGACATGATAACTGTAGTTGTGGCATCACCTATAATAATGATGTCATAATTGTAATAACTATAATCACCAACATCATAATTAAACTCATGGCATCATAACTATATCCATGACATCATAAATATAATCATGACACATGGTATCATAATGGTGATCATGACATCATAACCAGAACGATATCATAATTATAATCACAACTATAATTATAATGATGTAACTATAATCATGACATTATAACTGTGGTCGTGGTCTCTGTCATCTATAATAATGATGTTATCATTGTACTAACTACAATCTCAACATTATAATTATACTCAAGGCATCATAACGATATCCATGACATCATAAAATAATCATATCATAAATGTGACCATGATATTATAATAGTAATCATGACATCACAACTAGAATCATGACCACATATCATGACATTGTAACAAAAATAACAACATCATGACATCTTTGTGGTTTTTCAAATTTATTTTCTATATATTATTTCCTTTAGCTTCAGCAATAAGCTTGTGAGGGAGAAAGAGCGGGTGCTACAGCCGTCATCTTATAGATGAAGAAAGAAGAGAAATGATTTACCTAAGGTCACACAGCTATTTAGTGGCAGAGCTAGGACCCTGTTCATCTAATGCCCACTCTGCTATACCATAGGCCGACCCCTTGAAACATCTTGCAGTAAGCAGCCTTTCCTCCAGATTCCTGTTTTGAAAAATACTTTCACTTGGACCCTTTAAAACTATAATTCAATGTTGAAAACTAAAAATGAATAAACAATTTTTTAAAACTCTATAGTTCAAATAACCATTCTCTATGTGATCTACTTCAGTCCGGCTTTTCATAGACTAGATTTTTAAAACCTCATACACCCCAGCTCTGGTCTGGGACTTGGTAAGTCCTCGCTTGTTTCAGTTTTCCAGAATAACTGACATGGGAAATCCTGCCTCATCCAGTTTCTGGCACCAGGGAGCTGCCGTGACAAACTTCTCAGGCCACTGAACCGCTACACCACTGATGGTTCCTTCCTCTTCTTTCCCTTACAGTGATCCGGGCCAAAGTGTATGGTGAAAAAGTGGTCCCAGCCAGTGAGGACCCAGCTGACACCCAGAAAATGATCCAATATGAAATCAAACAGATAAAGGTACAAGGAGAAGGGGATGGAAATTCCCTTCCTTTTGGTTTTCTGCTTGAGATCCTTGTTCTGGGAATGACTGGCACATGGAAAGGACAGAATGGACTCAGTCTGGGGGAATCGTTGGGTCAATAACAACCCTAAGAAGATGCAGTTAGGGTGTGGGGAGAGCGGCAACAGTCAGCACATTACAACAGGAAGGGACCTTCTAGATCGATGATGCAACCTTCTCATTTTATACACACAGAAACTGAGGCAAGAAGAATGACTTACCCAAGGTCACAGAGTGAGTCAATTACAGAGAAAGAGCCACGACCTAGGTCTTCTGACTCTCCTGCCTCCTCATAAAGGATTTAGGGTTAACCAAAATCCATCTCCTGATCCAAGTTTCTAGCACAGAGGTTCTTAAGTCTTTGGTGTCATGAGCCCCTTTGTCAGTCTGATGAAACCTATGAATACTTTCTCAGAATGATGTTTTTATGTGCATAAAATAAAATTCTTAGGATTGTCAAGGAAACCAATTACATTGAAATACTGTTTTTCAAGGCAGCTAGGTGGTGAAGTAGATGGAGCAACCAAGTGTAGAATTCAAATCTATACTCAGACACTTGCTAGCTGTGTGACCCTGGACAAGACACTTAAACCCAATTACCTCCAAAAAAAAGTTTGTATGCCCACTGTCTCATGGGGAAGTAGAGGAGAGAGGATGCTCGGAGGGCCATGTAGGTCACCACCATGGGGCAAAAGAATGGGGTGGAGTAAGTGTAGACTGGCAAGCTTTGAGGTGGCCAGAAGGATAAAAAAAAAACAAACTAGATCCTTTTCTAAATGCTATTTGACTCCAGCTTGGTTCCTGGGAACATTTGGTATCTGAAGCTGAGGAATGGGTGATACATTTGTACTTTTAGAGGGATCTAAAGGAAAAGGGGTGCTCTTGATGATAAAAGTTAGAGCAAGAATTTTACAAATATCAATATATATGATTGTTTGTTTATGTGTATATATATATGTATATATGTATATGGAAAGAAGAAAAACAGAAAAGGATTCTATATAAAACCACAAGTCTCCATTTGCATACAGTTTATGCATCTTAGCCTCAGAGTGTCTGTTGCCTGGCTAAGTGACTTGCTTGGGGTCAGATAGCCAGTGTGCATCAGAGGCTGGACCTGAACCCAGATCTTCCTGACTTTGAAGCCAGCTCTCTATCCTTTACGCTAGCGATAGCAAACTCAAATAGAAATGGGGCCCCCATAAGAATCCCTGTGGGATGCACACTGACTTAGAAAACTGTATATTTAAAAAAAGAATATTAAAAATTCTTTTAATGTGTAATTGGAAAAAATAAAATATTAAAATTTTCAAAAAAAGAAAATCACATACTTACATTCTTTATATTCGAATGTATTTTTATTTATTTTGTTCATTATTTCCCAATTACATTTTAATCTGGATCCTGCCTGTTTGACACCTTGGGTCTACACACCTGCACCGTTTCTCAACTATTGTAATAGCATAATAATAATATTGTTATTTCTATACCATTTCCAATTTTTAAAAGTGCTCTTATGTGACTTATTTTCGCTAGAGAACTGTCATTGAATTATAATGACATAACTGTCATTGCCCCGTCATTGAAGTACTTTATAGATAAAGAAATAGACAGAGAAGTTAAGTGACTTGGCCAAGGCAAGCTAATAAATACAAGGCAGGGTTTCCCCTCGGGTCTCCCTGCCTCCAAATACACTTCTCTAAGCACAACACAATGTACTTTCACATGGTAAAGAGGCAGCTGGGGGTCAAGTAGATCAAACTCTGAACCTGGAATCAGGAAGATCTGAATTCAAATCCACCTTCAGATACTTACTAGTTGTGTGACCTTGGCCAAGTCACTTAGTAATATCACCAGCCTGCCGGGGTGGTTGTGAGGATCAAATAAGATAATATTTGTAGAGCCCTCAGCACAATACTTGGCACACTTTTGTTGTTGTTCAGTCATTTTTCAGTGATATATGACTCTTTGAGAGCTCATTTGGGGGGTTTTCTTGACAGAGATACTGGGGCAGCTTTGCCATTTCCTTCTCCAGTTCAGTTTATAGATGAGGAAACTGAGGCAAACAGGGTTAAGTGACTTGCCCAGGGTCACACAGCTAGTAAGTGTCTGAGGCTGGATTTGAACTCAAGAAGATGAGTCTTCCTGACTCCAGGCCTGGCACTGGATGCACTATGGCACCACCCAATTGCCTCACTGGCACATAGTAAATGCTTAATAAATTCTTGTTTCCTTCCTTCCGCTTACCGTATCTGCTTTGATCTTTATAACAACCCTTTGAAGTAGGTTATGTTTCCCCTATTTTATAGATAAAGAAATTGAAACTTAGGGAAGGGGAAATGACTTGTTTAAAGTCACCCAACATGTGAATGGCAGATTAGTACCCAAATTTAGATCTTCAGAATCTGAGGCTAGTGATCCTTCAATAGCTGCAACATTTAATAAACATTCATTGAGCATCTTTTGTGTGCAGCTCCCTGTGCGGATAGCCTCAATTGAGGGCCACACGAGTAATTTTTTTTTTCATTTAAAAATTTTAATTATTAAATTTATTTAAATCTATTTGAAATTTTCAAATTTAAATTAATTTTTTAAATTTATAATTTTTAAAGATTTGCTTATTTACATTTTAAGAATAAGAACCTTACAGCTTTCAAATTCATGCTGCCCAAAATAGACGTAGAGATATAGAGACACACACATATGCATGTACACATACACGTGAGCACGGCACATGTACATGTACCCACATGTAAACATAAAGACTCAGACTTTTATATAGAATTGCCATAGCCTCTTATAATAGCTCCAGTAAAGACTTTTAAGACTTTGTTGCATTTTTGTAATTTTAATCGTAAATGTGATTATATTTCTTGGAACTGACCACACGGGCCGGATGACATCAGGTTAAGAGCCAAATTTGGTCTGTGGACTGAAGGCTTTCCAGTCTTATTCTAAAGGAAAATATTATTTCAATCTAAAGACATTTGTGTGACTTGGGGATGACCTCAGCACCAATATACTGCAGGTTAGAGCCCAGATCTGTGCCTCTAAAATAAAAAAAGCTCTTGCTACGTAGGCAGGAAAGAAACTTGCAAAGCACAGTTCACTTCTGTGATCTTCCTTAGCCATGACCAGCCTTACACATAGGTAGCAGAGAAGGCTGTTTATGTGATTCAACTGGAGTCTTGGGAAAGAAAGTCTTCTTTCCCAAATATATCATCATCTGTCATTGTTTCCTGATATTCCACTGTTAGACAGCCATTCCTTTTGCTTAAGACATTGTCTCACTTTAAAACACAAACAACCCTGGCAAAGATAACACATTAAGCCTCTTCAGTTATTTATATCTTATTCTGATGAGATTCTCATTTGCTTTCCTGAGAACTTTAGGGAGGGGGATGAGGAAGGAAGAGGAGTGAAAATATGGGAGCCAGCTCTAGAAATTGAGGTTGGGCTGAAGCAGTCTCTTCTTTATTGCCTTACAGCAGAAGTTCTTAACCTTTTGATGTCATGGGCCCTTTGGCAGTCTGGTGACAGCTATGGACTCCATCTCAGAATAATGCTCTTAAATGCGTAAAATAAAATATATAGTATTATAAAGGAAGTCTGTTATATTAAAATGTAGTTATTAAAATTTTTAAAAAACCAAGTTCATAGATCTGAGGCTAAGGATCTCTGTTTAGAGCCATCCTCAGAGGGAAGGCATGAGGAGAAGGCCTGTAACTCAGCTCTCTTCAAAGCTGCATCAGAACCCCAATAGTACCTTCCCACCGACTGGAATGACCTGAGATTCTCTTTCATTAAAATTGGTTTAGCTGGGCCTGGCGAACACCTGCAATCCCCAACTTGGCCTTTCCAGCTGGTCTTGTTAATGATGTAAAAGTGAGGCATTAGTGCATGTATTTATTTTGACACAAAATTTTCATGCCATCTCACCCAAATTTGCTTTTCTGAACTTGTCTTCTAGATGTTTAAAGGGTTCGATAAGGTGAAGGACGTTCAGTATGTCTACACACCATTAGACTCCTCTCTGTGTGGGGTCAGGCTAGAAGCCAATAAGAAGAAGCAGTATCTCCTCACTGGTAAGTGCCTCAGGTCAATGAAAAGGGCCTACCTGGGGGAGCAGAGCAAGGCACAGCCTCTCACTCTGTAGCCTGAGGCTTCTGGCTCCATTGGGCTGGAGTGGTTCAATCAATCAATAAGCATTATTAAGTGCTTACTATGTGCCAGGCACTGTGCTAAATGCTGGAATGGTTGGAGCCCTCCAATCAATGTTTAGTTGGATTTTCTTATGAGCAGAAAGAACCTATTCCAGTGAGAGGCAAAATCATAGACTCTTATGGTTAGAAAGTACATCCTTCTGCAGGAACGTCCTCTACAGTATCTTTGATAGACGGCCATCCAATCTCCACTTGAACACTGTTATGGATGGTGAACTCACTACCTCTACAAGAGAGCCTGGGTCATTGTTGGACCACTTATAGCTGCCAGAAAATTCTTTTTTATGTTAAGCCAAAGTCTGCCTTCCTGTAACTCCTATCCATTGGTAGCAGTCCAACCTTCAGGAATGAAACAGAACTCTCCCTCTTCCACATGACGAAGGCCTTTCAACTGTTTGGAGTTTGTGATTATTCTACCCTTGTCCCTGAGTCCTCTTTTTCATGCTGACCTGCCCCAGGATCTCTAATCATTCCTTGGTTTCCAATTCTCCCACTCCCCTTGTTCTCTTCTGGACCCGCCCCAGTTTGCCAATGTCTCTCTTAAAATGTGGTACCTGATACTGAACACAATATTCCACATATGGTTCTGACCAGACCAGAAGCAGATAGGACCATTACTTCTAGATACTACATAAATCTTTCGCGGCCACCTATCCAGTCTTGTTAAACCTCTCCCAAATCTTAGAGCCATATTTAGAGGGGGGGGGCATAGACTTATTCTGCCTTTGCTCTCATACCATTTGATTGGAAGATCCCAGCATGCTTACTATTGGTTGATGATCAGAAAGCATTTGATTGATTACAATGGAATGACATCTTAAAGGCCCTCTTCCAATAAGATGTCTCTGTGTGCACAAATCACAACCAAAGCAAGATTTCTGCAAGGACATAACAACAGAAAACACCTTGTTCAGGGAGCTTCTGGTCATTGGTATCAAGTGAGACATGAAACAGAGAGAGGCATTTTCACCCAAGGTGTTCACCACTGTCATGGTGGAGATTCAGCAAGCCCAACTGGAATAGGGTTCGATCTTCTAGTGCTCCTATTTGGATATGATGTTATTCTGATGGCATCATACCCTAGATGCCTGAAGAACCTGCTAATGAGATCTACAATGTTTTACAAAATAAATAAAGAATACAACAGAACATAGATAAGTCCATCTGCTCTGGCAGGGATTCTTCTGTCCAATGTTGTGGCCCCTGTTTCTATTTGCACTTGACCCCACTGGGGTAGGGCAATGGTTCCCATTTAGTGGTTCTCAACCCCCTTGGGGGTTCACAGCGATGGCCCAAGTTCATGATTCTTTCATGGAGGCTTAAGTAGTAAATAATTGTAAAGAATATTATGAGTGGCAGATTAAATTGCCCTGGGAGTCACAACACATTGGAAAAGGTTCACAGAACAACAAACATGGGAAAGTACAAGGGTGGTGACACCAGTAGGTATCATAGGAGAACTGAGTAGGTAGAAGCTTGGGTGGCAAGAGAGGGCTTCATGGTGGAAGTGGACTCTGAGGTAGGTACTAGAAAGTTCCTGCTACATGGAGCTTTCAAGGGTCCAAAGCACTTTGCCCGAAACCACCTTTGGAAGGAGTCCTGATGTTACTTGAACCTTTTAATGCCTTCCCCAAGGTCACCCAGCCAGGAAATGGAGACACCAATTCTAAGTTCATAACATCTCATTGCCTCATTGCCCTTTTGATGCATGAATAGGAGCTGGGCTAAGTGTTGAGGAGTGAACATGGCAGGTTAGAAGGAATGGAATGATGAAATGTCAAGGGAACCATAAGGACACCATTTTGGTTAGGGCATTGAAGGTATGCACAGAGATATTTCAAATAAGAAACTGTAAATTGTAAAAGGTAGGTGGGACTGAATTGCATAGGACCTTGAACTCCAAAGAAAGGAATTTGTATGGTGCTGCACATCCCTGTGTCTTACCAAGTGCTTTAGGCTTTTGAATCTCCTCTGGAATACAGAGCTTGGGAGGAAGAGAGGGAAGAAGGGAAGGCCAGGTGGGGGGCACTCCAGCTAATTAGTTCTACTCCACCACTGTCATTAGATGTCCTGAGACTCTGGTCTCCAGAAGGGCACTAGTCCCCCAGAAGCCTTATCTGGAAGGTGGCAGAAGAGCATGGCTAATGACTTTCTCTCCTTCCTGCAGGCCAGATTCTAGATAATGGCAAAGTGTTCATCAATATGTGTAATTACATAGAGCCCTGGGACGACCTGTCCTTCTTGCAGAAGAAGAGCCTGAATCATCGTTATCACATTGATTGCAGCTGCAAGGTAAGCAGGCCTAGAGGGCCATGGGGCAGGGAAAAGGGAAGGCTGGGCTTCTTGATGTCCTGCCTGAGCCTGCAGATATGGTTCTGTTCATAGTTCCCACCACAGGGATTAGAAGGGAAGAAAGGCAGGATCAGAGACCATAGAGCTCAAATTATTCTCATTTTATTCATGAGTCACTGAGGTTCAGAGAAATTGCTTGCCTGAGGTTACTTGTGACTTGCCCAAGGTCACAAATCTAGAGATGGCCACCTTTAGGACCAGGGTACTCTGAAAAGTATATGCATATGCATATGCATATGTATATGTATATGTATATGTATATGTATATGTATATGTATATGTATATGTATATGTATATGTATATGTATGTGTATATGTACGTGCACATACTCTTACATGTATATGTGTGATTATATATGTGTATATGTATGTTATATGTGTGTGTGTTATATATATGTGTGTGCATGTATATGCATATATAGGTATATAGGTATGAATATATGCACGTGTGTATGTGTGTGTGTATATATATATATATATACACACACACACACACACACACACATATATACACACACATATATATATATATACACACACATATATGTAATTCACTACCTATATGGTCTTAACTTATCTGAGCATTGCTTCTTTCATCTGTAAAATAAGGTCAAAGTAGATGACCCCCAAAGCTTTGATCCCAGGGTGGTGCAGAGACCTTCTTTAGAAGTTACATTCTCTGCTCCAGGGGACACTGGCCGAGGAACATGGTGTGAAAGATTCCCGCTGGGATCTTTTATTTCCCACAACAGGGAAGCAAAAGGAAAAGTTTACAAAGTGTGTTTTGCAAGCTAGCCAAGTCAAGAGTAGAAGGAAAAGAGAGAAAATAAGAATCCTTTGCAATTGGGAGAGAGAAGACCCTAGTTTCTGAATTATGCCCTGCCAAGGTCACGTCAAGAAAACTCCCTGGACCTCAGTTTCCTCAGCTGCAAAATGAGGAGGTGGAATCTGGAGGGCAGCTAAGTGGGGCCATGGATAGAGCACTGGGTCTGGTGTCAGAAGAACTGGAGTTCAAATCCATCCTGATGCATTTCCCAGCTGTGTGACCCTAAGCAAGTCACTTAACCCCTATTTGCCTCCGTTTCCTCAACTGCAAAACGAGGATGATAATAGCACTTACCTCCCAGGGTTGTGAGGATCAAATAATATAGATATCAGATAATAATCATCATAAAGCTCTTAGCACAGTGCCCAGCACAGTGTAAGCACTATGCAAACGTCAGCTGCTATTATCACTGTTCTTATTCAGCCTCGGACGCTTCTAGCTGTATGACCCTGACAAGTCATCTAACCTCTATCTGCCTCAGTTTCCTCATTTGTAAAGTTGAGATAATAACATCACTTACCTTCCTGAGCTATTGTGAAGATCAAATGAGATAGTATTTGTGGTGTTTAGCCAATGCCTGACACATAGTAGGCGCAATATACATGTTAGCTACTATTATTGCTATTATCATTATTATTATCTTTAAGGTTCCTTCCATATCTAAGATTCTTTTTTTTTTTTTTGGCTAGGCAATGGGGTAAGTGACTTGCCTAGGGTCACACAGCTAGGAAGTGTTATGTGTCTGAGGCTGGCTTTGAACTCTGGTCCTCCTGAATCCAAGGCCGGTGCTCTATCCACTGTACCACCTAGCTGCCGCAATTTTCTAAGATTCTTTATTCAGTGATTCATGAGTCTAAACACATTCTCATAGGTTCACAGATCCAGAAATCATCCTCTAGATGAGGCAACCCCCTCATTTTATACAAGCCCAGAGAGGCTTGGCAATGTGCCCAAGATCACACAGCTTTGATAACCATGAGAGTCAGAACTTGAACCTAGGTCCTTTGGCCCAGGAAGTCAATGAATGTTGCACAGTACCACCTGACCCCTCATATTCTGTTCTGTTTAGATCGTCACCTGCTACACAGTGCCCTGCTCCGTCTCGGCCCCCAATGAGTGTCTCTGGACAGACTGGCTGATTGAGCGGAAGCTCTATGGGCACCAGGCCCAGCATTACGCTTGTGTTAAGCGCAGCAATGGCACCTGTGGCTGGTACCGGGCTGGCCTCCCCCCTGAGAAGGAATTCATTGATGTCAGCGAGCCCTAGAGAGAAGCATTACCACACACCCAGCCCTAGCTCCTGAGTGGCCTGGAGGCCAGATCCATCCACCCATCCATCTGTTCATCCATCCATCCATCTGTCCATCCATCCATCCATCCATCCGTCCATCCATCCATCCATCCATCCATCCATCCATCCATCCATCCATCCATCCATCCATCTGTTCATCTGTCCATCCCTGCACAGCTTCCCACTGCTTAATGTAGCCACCACTTAGGAATGCTGCCAGTCTCACAGAAGATACCAGTGTGTGTGTGTGGAACTAGTGGCTGGGTGAGAAGAGGGCTCATGCTCCTGGCGGTCGCTGTTCTGAGAAGGCCAGTCAGGCTTGGGGCCCAGAGTTCCTTTCTGTGCTGGGAAAAGCAGGACCGTCCCAGTCAAAGGGCCACCAGCCTGTTCCCTCGGCTTTAGTTTCTTCCTGTTACTGAGCTGGTTCTGAAAAAAGAACTCCCGCGAAATCATGAATCAATCTTTCTGATCAGGCTGGGGTTTGTTTCTGTCTCTCTCCAAAATACAAAATGTTGAAACGCGAACAAAAGCGCTTTCCATATCTGGAGCTGACATGGCGCACGCCAAATATTGTACAGCATGTGCACAAATTATTAATAGCCCTATGTTGTACAGAAGCAACCACTGTGATCAAGGCAAGTGGAATGGGCTGATTTGGGGGAATGATTAAAAAGCATCTTGTACACTTGGTGTGTGTGGAAGTTTCTTTTCAACTTATCTCTCCCTTAGCAAGGCCTGGACAGAGCCAGCTGTTGCTTGCTGATACAATGTAATTACTGGTGGGCTGGGGAGCCCTGGGAACCCCCAAACTACCACCCAATCAGAAATTCTTTCTCTAATGTCCCTGGCCGATGGCCTGTCAGCTTGTGCTCCAAGGTTCCAAGACAGCCCACGTCTGCTAACGTCAGAAAGCTCTTGCATATATTAAACTAACCTTGGTTTCCCTGTAACTTTCACCCCCTGGCACTTGTTGGACCCTCTGAAGCAATTCAGAAGTTCCGCCCTTCTATGTGAAAGTCTTAATGCTCCTATAATCCCTTCAACATTTCCTTATATAATAGTCTTTCCTCCCCACCCCACTTCCATAAAAAATAGGCCTCCATTTATTTGCTGATGCCTATATTTCCACCCTTTAAGCTTCCTTCCTTTAGCATAACCCAGCAGTTCTTAATCTTTCCTGTGTCCCGGACCCCTTTGGCAGGCCAGTGAAGCCCCTGCTCAGGGGGATTATAAAACAAGGGGGATTAGAAAGGAAAGTAATTACATTAAAATACAGTTATATTAAAAATATAGTTAAAAGAAGTTCTCCCAGGCTAAAAACCCCTGGAACCCAAACAAGGGCCCTCATTCACTGTTAAATGAAGGTATCACCCCTGCCCCCGAAGGTACACTTAAAATCCTCTTTTTTTTGGCATAGGGAGAGAATCCAGACTTACGATTTAATGAGTATAGGGAACTCCCACTTAGGAAATCCCCTCTGCCAATGCAGACTAGTTACTTTTCTATAACTTAGGGTCTGAGAGAATTGCCAGGGGTGGTGATGGTGGTGGTAGGGTGCACTGAGAGGTCGAGGGACTTGCCTAGGGTCTCACAATCAGAGGCAAGAATTAACTTGAATCCAGGCTTCCCTGACATTGAGGCAGGCCCTGTCTTCACTGTATCACGCTGCTTCTCCTTACTGGAATCTCCTATCCCTGAATGTATTCGTCAAACCCTTCCCTCCCCCCGACCCCAGAGAGCAGGTCTTGACAGTAAGGAAGGGAATCATAAGTCGATTTGACACCTGGAGATCAGATGAGTGGGTGGAAAGGAAGATGGATGAACAAGCAGGGAGTGACACTGGAAGAAGAAAAAACAGTGAAAGGTGAGGGTGGCTGAAGGCAAACTCTGCTGGTGTCATCATTTTCCCGAGGGTAGGCCTTGAGTGGTGGTTATAGGTGCAGGGTATCCCAAAAGACTTTATGCAAGATTACACCTGCATGACGACTTTTGGGACACCCCAGATAGGAGCCATTAAAAAAAAGCTCATAATTAATATCAGCGATAACTTATCCAAGCCCTATTTAGTTCAGTGGATAGAGATAGATAGATAGATAGATAGATAGATAGATAGATAGATAGATAGATAGATAGATAGACAGATAGATAGATATAGATAGATGGATGGATAGATGATGGATGGATGGATGGATAGATGGATGGATAGATAAATAGAAAGATAGATGGATAGATGATAGAAAGATAGATAGACGGATGGAAAAATAGATAGATGGACAGATGGATGGATGGATAGATGGATGGATAGGTAGATGGATAGATAGATAGATAGATAGATAGATAGATAGATAGATGGATGGATAGATGATAGATGGATGGATAGATAGATGGATGAATAGATAAATAGAAAGATAGATGGATAGATGATGGAAAGATAGATAGATGGATGGATAGATAGATAGATAGACAGATGGATAGATGGATAGATGGATGGATAGTTAGATGGATGGATAGATAAATAGAAAGACAGATAGATGGATAGATGATAGAAAGATAGATGGATGGATAGATAGATACATGGATAGATAGATGATAGGTAGATGGATAGACAGAAATGATGGATAGAAATAGATTGCTAGACAGACAGACTTATAGACAGACATACACATACCTGACTCTGACAGGCTTCTACCTCCACCCTCCACCCCACCAGAGAACACAACTCTCTGACAGCTTCTCCAAAGGTCTGTTCACCTCTCTACTACTTACTACCTGTGTGACCTTCAGCAAATCACTCGAGTTTTCTGGGCCTCAGTTTCCTCATCTATAAAATGAGTGCTCTGGACTCAGCTTCTGAGGTCACTTCCGGCTCTCAATCTATGATCCTTCAAAAAGGAAAAGATCTTGTGCTTACTATCTTTCTTTTTTAGAGGCAATTGGGGTAAAATGACTTGCCCGGGGTCACACAGCTCAGATTTGAACTCATGTCCTCCTGACTCCAGGGCTGATTTCTATCCACTGCACCACCTAGCTGCCCCATGCTTACTATCTTTCAAAGTTATCAGAGGTATGGACTAAAACTTGTTAGGAGTCCCCAGCCAGCCACTGTCTCATCTAACTCCCTAACTCTCCAGGGCCTGGCAGACAGACAAGGGACGTTTTTGCTTTATTTTGTTTTAGGGAATCTTGTGTTTTTGAAGTGTGTGTGTTTTTATTTCTCTCCCTCATTTGAGAAGTGCAGTTTACCACTGAGAAGAGAGGGTTGTGGATGATGTGTGTGTGTGTGTGTGTGTGTGTGCGCGCGCGCGCACATGTGCGTGCACGTATTTCATGGGGGACAATACTCCATTTCATAGGCACTGAGTGTTCTGTTTTTGGTGCACAGCAAAGAGCAGGAAGGGAAGACAGAAGCCTCCACTGGCCCTGGAGCACCTGGCTGGAAATTGCTTAGCTCCTCAGTATCCAATAAGCCTCAGGTAGGGCTTCCAGGTAGGGAAGATGAGAGTCCTGGGCATAGATCTCTGGAATCTGAAATAGGTCGGCACCAAATTCTTGTCTTTTTAAAGGCTCAGATTGCGAATTAACTGGATTCTGACTTTGCTAGAAGGTAGCTCTAGGCCCTTGAGACAGTTCAATGAGATTAACATTGTCCTTCAGAATGGTGGCTTCTTTTAAGTTGAGCATAGACAAGCTGGACATTGGAATATCAGAAAAACCAGAAATCTCAGGAGTCCCTCCACTTATCACCCCACCCCTCTGCCAGGTTCAGAGTCATTGCTACTCTTTGTTGAGCACTCTCAAATTGGCAAAGCTCTTTGCATACAAGAACTCTCCAGCATTGGCAACCCTATGAGGAAGCTACTGAAATGCATCTGTGATTCCAACCAGTTTAGATATTCCCTGACACCACGGATGCTTGGTGAGGGCAGGCACCCTAGCTAGGTGCAGAGAGGCTCTTCACCAGGAATTAGGCCACTTGACGTTCAATTTTTTGGCTGTGGCAACCCATGAAACAAAGAAAAATACCAAGTGTTCCTCAGTCCTGAGTATCTGCAGTCCTGTTGTCTGTGGTGGGGTCAGAGGGGACTAAGAATCAGTTTTTAGGCCATCTATAAACTTGAACTTGGCTGTTGGTACTCTAAATGTGAGAGTCTTGTCTGTTGACCAATGTGTGGAGATGTTGTTGGAGAAACTGATTGGTATCAATCAACGTTCTCACTATAAATGAAACATGAAGAAAGAATTGCAGCGAAGTGGAAGACTGACTTGGAGCTACCTATAGGATCAAAGATTTAGAAGAGACCCCAGAATCTGTTCCAACCTCCCCATTTTATAGATAAGAAAATTGAGGCCCAGAGAGGGTGACTCGTCTGAAGGCACAAGACAAAGGCAGAATGTGAACCCATCTTCTGTCTCCAAAGTCAGTTCCTTTTCCATTGTATCACACTGCTTCTCCTAAAGGCTCCTCTCCTTGGGGTGTCAAAAAATGAGTTGATATTTTTTCATGAATTGATATTGCAGGTATTATTGCCCCAATTTTATGCACGACAAATCGAGGCCCAGGGTGATAAAAGTGATATGCCCATGCTCACATAAGTAGCAACTGAACCCAGGTCTTCCTGACCCCCAAGTTCAGCAGCTTATCCACCATCCTATACTATATTCCAAGAGGCAGAGGTAGGGTATACAATCATAGGATGACTGTGATATCTTTAATTACTTCGCTAACATGAAGTCCAATTCTCAGAAAAACTCTTGTGACCAGGATAATAGAGAAGCAGCAATGAGTATGCATCTTCAATGACCCAATCTAAAGTATTCCTCAGCATGATACTTAGGTGCTCAAAACAATCCATTTCCCCTATTTTCTCCCTATGTCCCACCCCATCTTCAAGAATCAAGAGTTGATATCAGCTAAATCCCCTTCCCTCGTTCACAAAGCTTCCCTTTAAACCTGCCTCCATATACACTCTTGGCCCAAAAGAAAGAAAGACACCAGAATCTTGACATACTATTTTTAAAAAGTTGTCAACCCCATTCAAGAATATCAAAACTCTTCCATGGATGCAGGCCTGCTCAGAGACAAAACCCCTCAAGAGGCCTTCTAGCCCCTGAAATTAAGAAGAAAGAAGAGAGAAGGAACCAGTGGTAAGGAGGCAATATGGTACCAAGTCAAGAAACCTGGGTCCACCTCTTTAGATTGCCTCTGTGATCTTGGGTGAGTTAATCCCCTTCTCTAGGCCTCAGTTTCCTCAATTAGAAAAGGAGGGGAGGGAGCTGAACTAGATGATTTCTAAGGTCCCTTCCAACTCTAAAACTCTCTGTTCTAAGGTCCTTTTCAAATCTAACATTCTGTGATCCTATGAATTTTGGGACTTGGGCAACATGTCTGCTTCCCACCACTACCTTAAAATCACTTACTGACTACACAGAGCCAGTAGAGAAAAACCACGTACCTACTCTCTGACTCTGCAAATGGAGAGAAGGGGAATAGAGTTGAGGGGAAGGAGAAACTGTGTGAATTGTCATGTAAAAAAAAGTCTAGA